AACACAAAAGGTGCGAAGAGATGTACCCGAACGAAGCGAGGGAAAGTCGTTAGTTAGGCATACATATATTTTTGAGGGTTAAAGCTAAGCATACTGTTATGAATTGCTACTTAGCAAGATTCATTGTCTCGAAGAGCAAAGAATAGTGTTGGTTGTTTTAATATCTTCACATATGCGTGCTATTTTTAGTTATTAAATAGTGTATTTATAAATAGGAATTAACTTTATTACTTTTATAAATATTTAAAATAAGTACATTCATGTTACAATGTTTTTAAATGACGCTACTACAAAATTACAATTCAATTCAATTATCTATAAAAAAAAAACAAAATAATCATTTTACTGAAAAAAGAACTAAGTACCATAATTTAGCCATTATTTAAAGTAAAAAAAGTAAATTAAAGTAAAACAAAAACCTATGGAAAAAAATTGAATTAAATTTAAAATAAGTAAAGCCATAAGTGTTTAAGTAGTTGAACATTCATCCAAGTGATATTATAAATTCTATCTAGGAACTAAATTTTAGTTTCATGTAAAATAACAATCGCTTCTACAAAAAACCACAGGAAAAGCTAGTAATATACATGAAAAACTCATGTCCTGATAAAGTATCTTTCAACAAACAAAGCATCACTCCCCTAATGAAAGGGTGCGCGCAACTCCTTGCGGCGAACATCTGTGTATTCCTCACGGTATTTTTACAGGTACCCCGTCTCATAGGTAACAATGTTGATAGCTTGCAGTTATTTGCTTTATAATACAAAAGGAAATCTCTATAGTTTTTGGCGTACTAAGGAAATATATTTTATGAAAACAAAATATAGGTATCTGAATTGAGTTTGACAGTCCTTGTAGTTTTTGATCTCGAATACAATATGATTTACACATCTCAATATAATTCTTCTGTACGTGTGTTTGTTAACCTGCTCCTCTAAAAGGACTGGATCGATTTGGATGAAATGTTGTGTGTATATTTCAATGACCTCCTGGATGGTTTGGAAACACAATTGGACCCGGTAGGTTGCGCTGCTGTCGGTATGTCACTGATCTTCTCCTAAACGGCAGGGACAACTTTAATGAGATTTTTTGTGTATGTTCAAGTGGGTCCCTGCAAGGTTTGAATTCACTAATGGATCCGGTAGGTGGGGCTGCAGTCGGTGTGTCACTAAATTTTCATAAAAGACTCCATTTTCCAAACAATAAATAAATTTATTTTTTTTTTTTTTTTTCTCTTTATTTAAAGAGCTTAGTCAAAAGTTGACTATGTCGCTCTGTAAGGTAAACAAAAATTAAATTATTTTCTTAAATCTATACATATCTTTGCTAATTTATATAGTAGTTTAGCATTAGCACTAGTAGGGAATGATAAAAAGGATATACAATCAGTAATGTTTAGGTTAACGTTTAAGCTTATTTGTAGATATTGTCTAAAATATTCATTTCGGACACATTCCATCAAGATGTGATATACATCCTCAATTGTACCACATTCTGTACAATTGGGAGTATTAACTTTTTTCATAATAAATTTAAACTTATTTAATGGAATATGTCCGGAGCGAATTCTTAACGCTACAATTAAATCACTTCGACTAAGAGTACAGTCATCAAACCATAACTTTTTCCAAGGCTGTGGTTGCATTGTTCTATACCAAATCCCCTTTTCTTTTGCTCGCTTGTCAAAATATTCATTCCAAAGATCTGTACACTTTTCTTTCGTATACCAAAGCCAATCTGTATAATAAGGAACTCCTTCTATGTTGATACCCTCAAACGATGCTAGTTTAGCTAACCTATCAACTTTTTCATTCCCTATTATACCCACATGAGATGGTATCCATTGCAGAACAATTATTGTTGAATTTAATTGGAGCTTATAAATTTGGTCTACAATAGTATATGCTATCGGTGCACATCGATAAGCCGAAGTGCATCGTACTAGATACTGTAGACAGCTCTTGGAATCAGTAAATATGACAACATGCTTAGTATTAACTGTTTGTATATATGACAATGCCTCTGTAATTGCTAATAGTTCTAAAAACATGATACATATATGATGATCTACTTTAAATAACATATACTCTTCAGTTTGTGGATCATAAAAAGCTGCTCCTGATCCATCTTTATCTTTTGATCCATCAGTAAATATTTGGTAGTAATTATTATATGCTTCAGTAATAAAATTATACGTTATTGTCTTTAGTTGCGTTGTATCATATGTATTTTTGCTATTTTTCAAAGAAGGAATATCAGATTTAGTAAAATTGCGAACGTCTATATTGCTAATCCAAGTTTCTAAAGAAAACATTTCCAATTTGTTGCTAGATTGTATGTGTTTCATCTTTAAATTATCATGGACTATTACTAGTAAAGGTTTTTTTTTGTTTAACCAGTAATTCCTAGTCACACAAAGTTGTGACAATTCCTCAAGCAATTTGACAATTTTACAATTTTTTAATGACTTTGATTTTAACCAAAACTTCTGAGCCAAGAAATGTCTACGAATAAATAATGGTGGTAAGTGTAATTCACTTTCCATAACATGTATGGGAGTTGATTTAATAAAACCACCTATTATTCTCATGGCTTGATTCTGTAGTTTATCTAATTTTACTAAATTACTATTTGCAGCATTATTGTACAGAAAACTAACGTAGTCCATTCGACTTCGGATCAAAGAACTGTAAAGAAGCCTTAAATGTTTTGGATGGACCCCCCAATTATTTCCAGCTAATACTTTTAAAATATTAAGAAATTTTGATATCTTTTGAATTGTCTCCTCTATATGCTTACCCCATCGCAACGAACGATCCAACCATAGTCCTAAATATTTAACTTTATTGACAAACTGTAAAGGAATATTATTAATTTTAACAATGACATTTTCATTTCTTCTACTTTTTGAAAATAAGCAAACTTTACTCTTAGTCGGAGAGATATCTAATCCTATTTTATTTATTAACTTACTAAATAATGTTAAAGATTCTTGTATTTTTTGTTGAGCGGTTACAATATCTTTATTTGAAGTATATATAACAAAATCATCGGCAAACTGGGAAAAGCTCACATTATTAATTTGGTTACAAATTGGTATGGTAGCAATATTAAATAATAACGGAGAAAGGGGATCTCCTTGTGCTAGGCCTAAGGATGTACTCCTGCTATATTTTGATTCGTTGACACTAATTGTAAGATAACGTTCCCTTAAAAAGCTCCACAAATAATTACAAATCTTGGTTCCCACTCCAAACTTATTTAATGTATTTAATAGAGAAGAAATATTGACATTATTGTAAGCGTTATCTATATCCACAAAACAAGCAAGAGTAGATTTATCATTAGAAAAATTTATCTGAATTTCGGTTGTTAAATTAGCTAAATTGTCCTGACATGATCTGAATTTCCTAAACCCTACAGTGCAGTCAGAAAATAGTTCATTTTTTTCAAAGTACCACTCTAATCTTTTATTCAAAATAGAATGAAAAATTTTGCACATACAAGACATTAAAGAAATTGGTCGAATAGATGTAATCAATTGTGGATCTCGACCTGGTTTTGGTATAGGAATTATCATTATTTCCCTCCATTGCTTTGGTATAGAACTAAAAGTCAGAATCCTACTATACAAATTAGCTAAAATCTTGATAGCCTCGTCTGGTAGATTTCTAAGCATGGAGTAGGATATCCCATCAGATCCAGGAGCCGTATCCGATGATTTTATAACTGATAATATTTCTTGTTTTGTAAAAGGACTTTCTAAAACAGTATTATTTATGTTAAAGTTAGGTGTTGAAGGTAAAACATAATCTGGCGATAAAGTTTTTAAAAATAATTTAGCAACATTTTCATTAATACCTGTTCTAGCCACTTTATAACCTTTAAACCATCGCATACGATCCCACATGTCATAAGTGGTTGATATTTCGTTAAAAGATGAACAATATTTTTGCCAAGACATATTGTCAGCTTGCCGAATTAATTTTTGACACTCGCTTATCTTATTTTGCAGTATAGTTAAATTAAATGGTGTAGGATTTTTTCTAAAACAAGCTAGAGCTAATCTACGTTCAGCGACAGCTTTAGATATATTGCTGTTCCAGTAACTTTTAGGTTTAAAATTCGGATTTTGACTTATTTTAATTAAGGGTATATATTTGTCCGCCGCTTTATTTATTAATAAAACAATTAAATCATAAGCTTCTTGTGTATCATTTGGTAATATAAGGTTGGCAAAAACATTACTTAAATATTCCTTATACATATGCCAGTTCGCTTTTTTAAAATTTCTTTTTACAATAGGTTTAAAGGTTGAAGTATGAAATGTAGACAGTTTAATAAAAAGGTGATCGCTACCTAATGTCTCATTAGTTACATTCCAGTAAATTTTAGTAGCTATATCTGATGACGCTATTGATAAATCGGGGGAAGATGACTGTAATCTATTATTAACTAATTTTATCCGAGTTGACTGCGGCCCATTTAAAGTAACAAAATTACTATTTAATAAAGCATTGAATATTTGAGAGCCCTTTTGGTCAGTTTTATTGGACCAGTTTGGATGATGTGCATTAAAATCTCCTAAAATTAATGTCTTTGTATTAGCAATAGAAAATAGAAAATCCCAATCTGACTCTGTAGTTCTTAAAGAGGGTGGACAATATACTACGATTATACTTTTAATATCCAAGCAATTTAGAATTTTCACATGTAATAATTCCATTCCTAAATTATTATTAGCATATATTGGAATCGCTTCAGCTTTTACTGTACAATGAGTTAAGATGGCCACACCACCATAACCATCTTGTCTATCTTTCCTAAAAATATTATAACCGCTAATTTTTATATTTGTCCCAGATTCTAACCACGTTTCACATATAGCAGCAATATGTATTTTTTCTTGCCATAATAATTGTTTAAGAGTAGCTAATTTACCTTTAACACTTTGCGCATTCCACTGCATTAGGTTTAATTTATTAATTTTACTTTGATCACCCATTTCCAATATTAAATAATTGTTTTAATATTGTAAACGCTGATATTTTGCTTTCAATTATATATACGACCCATTCTAATACAACACAAACTACCTGTTCTGCCTTCTTTTTCGTGGATAGATTTTTCATAAAGCAAATATTAGATATTCTCTTAAGTAATTCAATAAATGAAATCTTCGGTTTTTCTTTATTTTCTGTTGTATCTTCATCGATAGAGGATTCTCTGTCAGATTCATTGTTTGAATACATTCCCCAATCAAAAGACTCTCCAGTCTGATTATTTGTTGACATAGATTTCTTCTTCTTACTTTTCTTTTCAATAACTTTTTTTGTGATTTTTTGATTCGCCGTTTCTGTATTGCCATATGTAGTATTTGACGATTTCAAAACTTCCACATAACTTCTCTGAGATGTTGAAGGAATTATCATAGAAATATCTTCAGTGTGTAATTCTTCCTTCCGAGCTGATGCAACTATTCCCGAAGGACTTGGCTGAATGTATATAGTCAACGCCTTTTTATAAGAACAGTTAAATTCAGCCATGAGTTCCCGTAATCTTTTCTCTTTAATAAATATAGGGCAAGATTTACTAAGTGATATGTGCTGACCTAAACAATTCACACATTTAAACTCAGTAGCTTCACAATTAACATGGTTTGATCCACATTTCGGGCATATTATTTTTTGACTAGGGCACAACTTTTTAATATGTCCATACCTCCAACATTTTGAGCACTGGGTTACAGGAAATATGTATGGTTCTATCTTAACTTTAACATCGTATACATGTATATATGGTGGTAACGATGGACCCTTGAATCCTAGTCTAACTGCTTCACTATTTGACCATCCCAAACCCTCCTCGTTTCTCCGCATGAGCCTTTTAATTGATATTATTTCACTTTCCGACATTATATTTTCCTTAATTTCCTCGATTGATAACTCGATCTCCACATTTTTGATAACACCATATGAAATCCCGACTTCCAACGTTTTATGCATTTTCCATTCCATTTCAATAAGAGATGTACACATTAACAGTTTTTCCGCACTTTCTTCATCACTAAATTTTATTAATGCTTTATATGGATTTAAATATTTCACGTTTGTAATATTACGTATATCTTCTTTTTTTAATAATTTGGCCATATGAAATTGTTTTGGTATTTTATTTTTGGAATATATACATACTTCAATTAATGTTTCCTCTAAGCTTTGTTTTTCACTTCGTATATCTTTTCTTATTATTTTTTTCCCATTTCCCGTAACCATAGTCCACTCCTCAGTATTTTCCTCTATGTCTCTCACACGTTTGTTTGGTCTCATAATATTGTAGTTGCTATCAATGTATTCCGAATTCATTAATTGATCTTGCATATAAATTTCACTTTGTTCCGTTTGTAAACATGATTCGATTGTATGCGATTCATTTGTATTTTCTTCATTTAAACTGTTACTATTATTCATAGCAAATCGTCATATGACCGTGCAGGTGTTTACCCGCCGTAGCAGGTAGCACCGCGAGCGCGTCCTTCCAAGAATTTTATTATCTTACTACGTAAACAACAGCAAAATACGCGTCCGTACTAGTATACTTGTCGAACACCTCTGAAATAAATTTAAATTTTTCATCAATTAAAATAAAAATCGATGTGCCTGTATGTTTCCTATGGACTCCAAAACAGCTGGAGCGATTATGACGAAATTTTCAGGTAATCTTCAGATTAGCCCAGTACCTACTGGGCTAATCTTGAATTTTGTTAGCGATCGAAAGTTTGGACGCGGGCGAAGCCGCGGGTACTGCTAGTACTATAATAAAATTCTAACTGAGGGGAATCTGTACATCGAATATTTTTTTTTTAAATTCTTATTGAAATGATCATTATTATCGATATAGACGCCGAATCTGTAGTTTTTAGAATTGTTGTCTGTCTGTCTGTCTATCTGTCTGGAAACGCATCACGGGAAAACCACTAACACTAGACAGATTTTGATGAAATTTGGTATGATGGTAACTGGAAATCCGGGTTAACATACCTATAGGATACTTTTTACTGCAGAAAAATATCTTATCTCTGAGAAATCTATAATAACCGTTAAAACGTATCTAAGGACGAATCCGAGCGGAGCTAGAGTGATCCGCTAGTCTATACATATAATAAAATTGTAACTAAGCCGAATCTGTACAGTAGATATTTTTTGGAAAATCTTATTGAAATATACATTACTTTATTTATCTTTTTGGTCATCTGAACGCGGGCTATGCTAGTATATAATACTATAACGTGGTATTGAAAACCCAAGAGTTTAATCGCAAATTTAAATTCAAATTAAAAGAATCTGCCAATTGCCAAGTCAATCAATAAAGGGCACATACGCCATAACATTCTTTTCTTGAAGCCTTTCATGACATTTTTGAATCCCCTGTGACTCCGTTGTGAATAAAGCTCGAAACCTGAATTATTTTATTAGAAACTAGCGACTCACCCTCGTTTCGCTCAGGTTCGTCCCTAGGTTGATTCCCCGTACAAACTTTCATTCACCATTTTCACCCTCTAAAGGGATGATTTCCGGGATAAAAAGTATCCTATGTCCTCCCCAGAGTCTCAAACTATCTTCTTACCAAATTTCATCTAAATCGATTCAGTAGATCTAGAGATTACCAACTACAACGTCATAAACTCACAATTCACAAACTTTATCTCTTTATAATATTAGTATGGATAAACGTTAATCACAATAAAACAAAACCATATTTTAAGTTTTATTATCATACAAGTTGTTGCCCGTGGGTACATACATTAAATAAAGTCTGTAATACTCCAGAATATAAGATATTCACTTGAATACTTTATCAATACAGCGAGAAGAAGTAACAAACTAAACTACAGCCACTTAGAAACGTTCTCATTTATAATTTAAAGATATAAATTAGCGTGATTGAAAACGAGGTTCTATTTTCGTCACATCTGAGTGAGTTAATGCTACCTGTACTTTATTGTATCTAAATTAAAACAATTATACCTATTTTATAAAAAAAAATCTTTTCGAGGGACCTGCGATACTCTTCCGTGACCATAATTGCTGTAAATCATTCGAAATGTCAGGAACCAAAAGCCAAAATAAATCCACGAAAAAATCTGAAAACATAGTATTATTTAAAAAAAACCTTACTAATATTACGTAAAAGTGTATATTGTTACAGGCGATATTTTCCATACAGATATTTAATGGGCTGAATTAGGAAGATAAGGATAAGCTACTTTATAATCGACTTCAAAAAAGCACACAAGTCACTCATATAATATTATTTATATATATATTTATATAATAGTTTTCTAATTTAATCTAAAACTTTTCTATATTATACCAATATACGTATAATCTAAAATCCAATTCGATACCAGGTAAAGTACATTAACATGCACAATTTATATATTCCCAACGGAAACACCAACGCTATCACATCTAAATTCAAAAGTTCATGACGTAGTTTAATTAAACTAAGAATAAATGGCTGCTATTTCTAATGTTCATAAACAAGTTGTGACAAGTGCTAAATTGTCGTCTCTCTCCTACAATATTGCAACGATAAAGCTGCTCGAGTACCTAATGGGAGAAGAATAGTGTTCACCACAAAGATATATTTTAGGTAGATCGCTAGACACGAGGCCATAATATTGGTCCAGACTTTGGGGCCACTAACTTAGCTTCTTTAATTTATTAATTTTCATGAAGCTTTCACAAAAAAAACTTACTAATAATGTGTTATAATATGACTTCATATTATAACACTTATAATAACTCTGTAGTGCATATTAAAAATGATATATTTTAATCGCAAAAAAAAAAAACAAGAAAAGAGCTGTTCAAAGGCAGCAAGCGAAATCTTTAAGCCAACCGATATTAAATGGTACAAAAAAAAACTAAAGCGACAAGGTGCATAAAGTTCAAGTTATTGAAAATTTTAAATAATTAACATACTGTACAAAGTTACATATGTATATAAAATTTAATATAAACTTTACTTGTTACTTAATTAAATCTTGAAAGTTGATTTTGTCCTACTTATAATAAGTCAAATATAATTTAATTTTATATATAATTCGATACCATATAACTGATCTGATGACGATATTAATGACAGAAACCTTAAGTTTAATCCAAATCTGTCTACAAACGAACACAAAACTTTCGCACATGTAATAGTAGGAAATACGAATCTCGCATTTTCTAGGACCACGCGAGACCAGCCTATATCTCACCGAAGCATTTGTTTCCCGACCTCCATTTTCTCCTTCCATTAAGCTGTATTAAAGGACTCTCTTTTGCGGCCCGACTGATATTAAAATATATATTTATGTTCACGCATCGAAGACAATATCGAAATGTCAATACATTGCTCTATATACATACATACATACATATGTACATATAATTAAAAGTTTTGTAATTTTATGTTGAGATAGCAAAGTCGTTACTTTTTCAATAAGCTGTTTAAATACGAATTATGAATGCTTGCTCACTTTCTTTAGCTAATTTGGAATTTGGACTCGTTAATAGTGTTGTCAACGAATGGATCTCAATTCCCAAAAAAATTTAATTCAGTATTTTTAACTTAACAAAAAAACATATTATTTAATTTAGTGAATATTATTTAGAATATATCTAACAGTGAATGGAAACATCATGAGAAAACCTGCATGTCTGAGAGAACTTAGCAAGTTTTCAAAAGACATGTGAAGTCCTCCAATCTGCACTTGGCCAGGGTGGTGAACTATGGTCTGATCCCTTTCGTATTAAAAGGAGGCCCGTGCCCAACAGTGGGACGTTCAAAAGGGCTGAATAAATATAAATTATAAAATCAGATACCTTAACTAATACACTAAAAATACTTTCTATACATAATGTCTTGAATCTTTTAAGGCAAGTTTTATGTACCAGATAAAAGTTATTAGTATGGATAAAGCACAATACAATCTAAACTAAAAAATCCAGTTTAGTGTATAAAAGCTTAAATGTTTTTCCTTTATCTTCATTCAAACTGTAATTTAGTTAATGGATAACTAAATTATAATCTAAACCAATTCTTTTTATCTTATGGTTGAAATTTAGCCGTTAAATAATTTTTATGTTGACCAATTTTCTTTTATTAAGAAAAATTAAGACATTTACTGTAATAATATAGGCATACTTATTAATTGGGTACGTTTTAATGGTAAGTAGGGAACAAAAAGACTATATATTATATATACATAGGTATGATGAGTTGTTGTGGGTTGTATTATAACGTGTTTTCCAGTGAAAAGAGATAATCTCCCGCTGTAAAAAGTAGCCTATCCGGCTACTTTCCGGCTAAAAAGCTTTCCAACTAAATTACGTCAATCCGTCAACCTATTTCGATTTTCGACATGAAAGAAGGACAAACAAACATACAAACACACTAACACATTTATAATATTAGTATGGATTCACGAAAATAGAAAAGGGGAGCAATATAAGCATATCGAAATTGTATATTTACGATTGTTTTATTGATTGTAAATAATGATTATGTCATATTGATTCCTATTATCTCATAAATTATTTATTAGGTTTATTGGGGATATAATGCTATCAATGAAAAGGTTTTTTTTAAATGTCCATAATTGTTTATTTTTGACCGAATAAACCTATCTCTTCGGATTTATTCGCAGATTTCTTTTGATTTTTGGTTTCTGACATCACGGTCACAATTTCATGGTCAATGTCTTGGTCATGTTAAAGACTAATGTTATGTAGCTTACAGATACTCTTTCTAAAAGAAAAACCGGAAATATAGGTTTAATTAATATATTTAATTTAAAAAAGTATTATTTTGACCAACTTCAAAAGGTGGAGATTCAATTCGAATGTTAGTATTTTTGTGTAAATTTCAAGAAAAGTAATAGAAATAAAATTATTTCATTTTATTGTTGACATGATATTTATAAAAGATATATTATGTACTGCAACTGATATAAGACTAAAACTTACCTAGTTTATTTACTTTAGTAGTTAAAAATAATTATCTATATGTATGTAGATTAAATCAAAATTTTCGAGATAAAAGAACAAACAAAGGGACGTTTATTTATTTTATTTATTCAGGTAACATTACAGATAATTCCGATATATTTTCAATATAAAAAAAAATACAAATTACAAGAACTCTTATCAAAGTGAGAAATCAAGTTTTTTTGTTGTTGTTTTTACTTAAACTCTTCTTATATTTTGTGAATAATCTGGAGTGAAGATATCGCTAAAAGCTTCATAACCCTTTCAGTCGTGTACTTCATATCTTCAGCCGTTTGTCAAAAACGTTGTAAAATTGTCAAAAATTACGTTATATTAAAGGCGCTTAAGCATTTCCAAAACAGCCACCATTTCTTTAGCTAAACACTAAAATATATTCTAAAATAACTAAAATCAGAATAGATTTATGCACT